GTGACTTCGCAACGAGCTTTCCCTCCCCCTGAAAATCGTACCGGATCATCCGTAACACCAAGAGAATTACAGCGTAGGATGTATGGCTGGCTGATCGATATACTCGGACAGCCTCCTGTATTATCGTGCTCTTTGTATTTATGAGTTCGCGACTCGCGCGGCACACTGTAAACGAAAATCAAGGCCAGTCGAGTAATCTCTGATTGCGACAATGATCGATAACCACGAGAAACGTGTGCTCTTTCACCACGATTCACGCCCTTTATCAAATATTCCATCGAATGCTGCCATTACAGAGTTTAACGCTTGCCGTGACCAAACTACTCCATTCCTAAAAAGCCAGCAGAATTATTCGGCCCATAATTCATGCTTTACCTGCTATTTGCAATGTTCATTGTCCTTTTATTTCATGCCCGTGTTATTCGGTGTTGTTCGAATGAAACGCTGGTGAGTATCTATATACGTCGAACCGCTTATAATATGAATTCGCTTCGCTGCTTAACTCGTAAGCAGACGCTATCATTCTTGGTATGCAAATTTCAGATTTTATATTCAATTGAACGAATTTTTTGCTTGGATTTGCACCTCTTACACCTTGCTACATTAGTACGTACACACAGCAATCTCCTTTGAAGGAAAATCTTATAAGGGCGTTGTAATAAGTTGAATATCAGGGATAATTATGTTGTTCTTTCAAAATTTTACACAGCAATCCCTTCTACAATGACGGAAGCTACAACCAATAAAGGCACCTGATTCCGGCGGGAACAATCCACTAATAAACTTTACGAGACCGTACCAGCAGTACGATACTAAAATCAGAATAGCAGTAGTGTGCATCGACGATGTTGTTAACACCACGAAAATGCGGCGAACTATAACAATGGGTGACGACAAGGCAGATCGAGCGACGGCATTACCGCGTGTAATACCGCGTGGCAACGAGCAGTGGGCTGTGCGATCTTCCTCAAAGTGGCTGCGATTGCGACAACGACATCAGGACCGTACGATTGTGAGTCGATAAGCGCCTCTGAAACGGCAGGGTGATACCAGAGGACATGGGCGGGTGCGTATTGAAAACGATAAAACGTGTCCGACTTTATCCCGCGGCACGTATGGTTTCGATAACGTTATTGAAACTTTCGTTTATTGGGCGACAGTTATGAAAATTTTTGGTACTTCAAATGGAAGAATTTGACCGTCTCTATCGTTCCTTTTCAAACATCGACGTTATTACTGTACGTGTTATTTAACGTGGAATATTCGCGGCAAAATTCTAAAACAACTTTTCAGGTTTACAGTGGGAAATACTTGAAGAGAAATAATAATGAAGTAAAATAATTGTGCGAAACGAAACGCGAAAGCTGCACCCTATGATCATACGTATGATCGCAACACGAGTACAGTAGAGACATGGGTGCAGTGTCCATCGCAAACATCGGATCGAAAGGTTATCACAGCAGTTTGCATGCAGAATCTTGAGCAATATAATCGTCGAGTATCGAATCCTGCCACGGGAACGCGTCATAGTAACGAGCAATCGCGCTATCGAATTTAACAGGCGACGGATACAATATCGTGCATAATGGTCGAGGCGTCGATCATGGCAATAATAATATAACCGCTATCGACTACCGTTAGCGGCACTGTTGGCACTGTTGGCACTGTTGGCAGAGCTGCTGGCGAGGGCGGTGGACCCCGGCGCGGCTGGGCGCCGTGGAGCGGCGTGGAGCGGCGTGGAGCGGCATGGAGCGAGTCGGGTGGCGGAGGTGGTAAGAGTTGACGGCGTCGGTGGTTGGGGGCTGATATCTGGCTAAGCGCGGGCGCAGTTGGATCGCGGTCTCCACCACGGTAGCATTTCTCTCACCGGTCTCTTCACGCGACTTTGTCTCTCTCGTTGGTTCTGTTATAAGTATCTTTTCTTTCCCGTTCACTTCGTGTTTTCTTTGGACACCCCCCTCGCCACAACAGTCTCCTTTCAGTCGTCTACTTATCTGCCTATCCATCTTTCCAACCCTCCTTTCCAGTCTTCCAACCCTCTCACCCTCTCTTTCTCTCTCCCTATTGGTCCAACTCCCCTCCAGCTGTCTCTGTCCTCCCTTAGGTCGGCGAGTTCAGTTCGCATCAGTCTCCCCTTCGGCGTGGCTCGTGGTATCGGTCATGCGTAGGTACAGGCGGCAGAGTGTGCGTGCCGAATGACGAATGAGTGGCACTTAAGAAAAACGGAAACAGCGACGTGCAGGTTGATCGCGAGCTGCGCGAGTCGCCGCGAGTCGGATGCATCCGTCGGTGAATTGGTGCGGTGGACGCACCGGCCTGTCACGTGGAAATTCGACACGTTCGGGATACAACTTCGTACCCCGCGTCCCGATCCCCGTTCTTTTCGCCCGCTGGACGAATCGACGAAGAGGTGATCTTGAGCAAACTCCTTGCTAACTGAGAATTCTGTACAAAGTGATTTACGAACGACACTCGTATTGCGAAAGTCCTTCCACATACCTATATACGCCAGTTTGTTCGAAGCATTTCGGCGCGGACTTTACCTTTTGTTCCGTTCGTATTTTTGTGACGGTGTGAGTTAATTGAACTTCAATCCCTTACACGCGACGCACAGTCAGCGATCAGTGATGTATGGCGTGGCCGCGTTGTGATTCGTTAAAAGTTTTTCCGCGAGAACTAATGGATTTGTTAAAAAATCGTTACGCGCATGTACGCGTTACGTAAATACACGTACACGTGCGTTTCCAACCAAATGTTTGCTCCAATTCTAATAGTAATATTTCTGCGAGCTTAGTCGACCGAGAATCGCACGTACAGTTCAAGCGTAGAGATTTATACATAGTTTTAATTTACATAACGTCGCGTTTGGTCCAATTAATCTTTCTGCGAACCGAAACGATTTTTTTTTCTCTGTACTCCATTTGTTTCGACTTCGAACAGCTTTGAAATAATGTCCCCGAATAACTTAACGTAACGTTCGTATCGTATTTACATTTTGTAACTGAGATAGAACAAATTATATTCTCTCGCTTCCGATTGGAGTCTCAGTTCATAAATACTGTTTCACGGTCACGTTTTCGTTGATCTCTTCCACTGAGCGTGTTACCTGCGGGCGCGTCGTTATGTTAAGTTTTGAACGAACATCGTGGCGTGCTCACTGAAAGAGTGAAAGGAGAAACAAGTTGGATAAACACAATGACAGCCGGTGTCTCGAAGTGGAGCACGATTACCCCGAAAGGGTGAACGTTTCGTCGAAGCGACGCGAGAATGCACGGTTTCGCGTGGACTTCCGTCAGTTGCGTGGAAATTCGAGAAAAATCGAGAGAAATGCACCGGAGAGGAAAAGAACACGTGGCCTCGACGCGGACGCAATAGAGGAATTTTATTGGTGACAGTGAGCAAACAACAACGCTCGACACGAGCCGCTCCCACGACAACAGTAGGTACGTTCTTCGCGATAGGAATGCGTACAATTAAAAAATACTGCCGTTAGTCTTCTCTATAGTTCGTCTGTGTTTCCATGACAATGATCTCGTACACTGACTGTATTTGTATTTGCATTTGAATAATTTCCAGTTAATTTTCGACAAGAATCTACCTACTCGTCCTTGTTTGCATGAAATATCGTTCGAGTTCTAATAAAAAGAAGAATTTCGTTCATTTTCGAACATTTCAGACAAATTTTTAACATGCTTTCGATGCATTAATTAATATTTTACCGATGAAACATACTATAGGTTGAAAATTTAATTTATTATTCATTCTTTACAAACTATATATATCTATATATGTATATGCAGATGTAAAGTCTTCAGAAAAAATTAAATATGCGCTTTTAAATTTTGATAAGCGAACGCAAAGAAAATGTAAAGGAAATTAACGACATGTACATATATATATATGCATTTATGGCGTCAATGCTTAATTGTTGAATACACCCTAACAAGAACCCAATATATATGTATAGCACTAATTATCTATTCAATGACCGAAATCATCGAAACCACCAAGCGTAAATTCGTAGTTACTTTCAAACACGCGATTGGGGAAATTTCCGAAAAGGCGTGCTTTTCGCTTTTGTCGATCCATCGCCAGCTTTTCCCTTGGGTCGAATAAATTTTCGATATCGGAGATCGTTGCAAACACGCGACACGCTAAAACGTAACAGAAACGAACCGAAACAGCTTTCGCGCGCGTTTAAAGCAGTCGCCTTTTAAGCGATTACCTGACCAACGATAGAGTTATATGCGGGATTGATTTCAATTTGCGAGCAGCCGAGTTTCACAACAGGCTGATTATTGCCGTGTGTTATAGCAAATAGACAATAAATCCGCCACTAGGTAATCGAAATTATAATCATGGGGCAATTGCAGCCGTGTCGTTCTCGTATCGCGTACTTGTCGTGACAAACTGTTTCGCAAATATTATTATTTTACACATTGCTGTAATCGACATCATTATCCATTAATATCGAACACATTTAATAAACTAACGGTTGTGTAAAATCAACGGGGAAATAACGCGTTGCAATTTGCAACTGGTACGAAGTTCTGAAATAATTGGTTGGAATTCTCACGAACGATATTCCCCGTTTGTTCGTCTCTATAAATGACATATTTCGGTTCCGTTTAAATCCATTTCGATTTAATCGCTTAATTTTAGTCACAACATTAGTATCGCAACGATCAACTGTAAAAATTAGAAGAAAAAATACCCGGATTCGTTTTCCTTTTCCGATCTAAAGGATCTATTCGTTTGTGAATCGAAGAAATTGGAATTGAAAAGAGTAAAAACAGCGAGTAATTAATGTTGCACGCTTTGATAACATCGGGATCTGGGACTGGTGACGTAACAGCGTGGAGTTATCCGAGCGAAACGGCACACGAAAGTGACGAGTGTCGAGATCGATTCAGTGTGCGAGGCGAACTTCTGTTTATTGTCGGCAGAAAAGACACATCGCTCCACTCGGGTTGGCACGACTTGGAAAGTGGTGACGCGAAATGTACCAGAAACGATGGACCGTGAAGGCACTGGGAATGGATTTCCGGTACGATGGCAATGGGAGCGGCTGGTACACGCCGGCCAAGATGATCTGCATTTTCTTCTTCGCGATACTGCTGCACGGTAGGTCGATGCACAATTTATTCCTACTCCGAAACGCTTACACGTGCCGCGATAAGAAAGCGTTTGCTGTTGCTGCTTCCGCGTTGAATTCACTGCTGAACAAATACCGGGTGTGCGAGGGGAAACAAAAAACGGAAATCCGGGGTACGATGGAATATATTATTATTGAAAATTTTGCTTCTTCTTGTTTTTTTACACTTCGAAAGAAACGGCACGTACTTGAACAGAAATATGTATTACGTTATCGATTTTCGACGTAGTCAGGGTCAAAGGAGCACCGTTTGATAAGACAACCGGCTTTCAATCTCTACTCGCAGATGCTGTAAGAACAAAACGATCAAATTTTTTGTGACGTTATCTGCCAAACGATAATTGTACATATGAAATTTCACTCGAACTATTTTGTCGCACATCTAAATTTCGGTACAGGCTTTGTTTCATCGAACAGGGCATGAATTCTTTTTTTAATGGAGAGTAACGCGACGATACTCATTGTACGGTATAAATAACGAGTACCTGCCGAGCGGCTTTGATAATAACGCGACGAAGAAGCAAAAAACACTTTATTCCGACATATCCAACGGATCGTTTAATTTACCACAGAATGCGAAAGATCAAATCTCCCGATCCACTACGTGCGAGCGTGGTTCAATTACTTTTTTGTCATCGATTCCTACCGGTACATAGGCTTGTTTATTGGAGCTGTTGGGGCGTACGATTTATTTGCGAGGGGGTTAGAGGGGCGAGACAGCCGAACGTTCGCTCCTCGTTAATTAGAATCCCTGTTGCGTGCGGTCAACTATCAACGCAACTATTGACTAGCTCCTCTCATTACGGGTAAGTCTTTATTATCGCGTTAATTCTTGCAAAAGTAATTGTTTCGATATCGCTTCGTTAATTGGATATCTCGTCGTCGGTTTCTCTCTGTTTAACAAAAATACAGCTCATAAAGTTTCCGTCGCAGCATAATTAATGGTACTTGTTAATAGGAACAGTACGCTAACTGTGTCGACTTCCGTGGAAATAAATTTGCTTCTTGATCCGACGAGTACACACCGTGGCGGTAATGATTATTTGCGAAAAGCTTTTACGTAACGCCTAGAAGTTCTATTCTTCGTGGTAGTTTGAGATCGTATTGATTCGGGCCGCGTCAATCCAAACTGGAAGAACTTCTCCGTTATCCGGAGCAGCTTCACGGATAACAAGTTCTGACCCTTCTCCGAGATGTTATGGTCGATGACTCTCCGCAAAAATCGTTGTCAGTTCGTTCATAATATTTTCACCGATATCATACCTGGTAAATCAGACAATTGCGATAGAATGATTTCACCAGTTCCTATCGTCTACTCGTCAACATGATTTTCTCACTGTATCGTGAATCCACTAGAATCTATGCACAATACTGTTCCGTTTCTATCTTGTTGTATTCAAAATTTGTATAAAAGGCCTTACTACGTTCCTTCCGAGCTTCCAAAAATGGATAATACAGTAGAGAAGAATGGAAAATTCGCAGAACATGTTTATAATTCGAAAACGAAGCTGTAATTCCAGCGGCGGCGGGAGTTTCTCGGAAAAAATGGTGTGGGCGGACGCAATTAAAAAATCTTGAAGCAGTTCTTTTTTCGAGTAGTCGGAGTGATTCCGTGCACGAAACACTTTGTCCGCGCACGAGTGACTCGCGCGTTGCGGAATTTTTCGCTAATGCCGGTTTGCCCGCTCGCTCCCAGAGGAAGTCGGGCAGCGTTAAAAACGCCCGGGCTCGAGCTAAAAAGTACCACGAGAAATCAGAATGTGGAAAGTAACGTTCCTGCACCACACAGAAAGGGATAAAAATGCATTGGTGGGAACAATGATCACTAGCTGCTTTTCAAATGTTGTTGCGGTCAGCCAACAGTGTGAACTTGTACTTGTACTACACGCGTGCGTTGTGGAAAAGTATCCGTGAGTACATTTTGCTCGACATCGGTATCGAACGATCTTTATTCCGTCTGTTCGGCTCACAATTTTTCTCTGATTCTAACAGGAGTTTCCGTTAACATGTTTTCAGTTTAATCGCTATCTAGTTGCAAGCAATTTCGTGCGATCGTAATCCGAGAATGGAAAACTATAAAATTGTAGATTAAAACAGAATCAGACGCAATGATTAGCTCACGCTGGAATTCGTGGTATAAAGAAAAAAGCAAATTACATTTCGAATATATTTCGAATTATATGGTACCCGATAGCGAGGCACCTTAATACCTATTGGTCACAATTGTTAAGCAACGAATGATACATTTCAAGAAAAACAAGTCAAGCAAAAGCTAGGTAAAGTAGTAACGAATGGTGGATGGAGAAAATAAAGCGTCAAAGGGGTTGGAATTAGCTTAGCAATTGACAGCTTTCAAAGCAAACTCGCCGCTCGGTTGTAAACGCGTTTGCCAAAAAGTTGTCGCATTGAACGCGCGTTCGAATATTGCTTATCGTATATCGCGTATCACGCATCGAGATCACAATATCGAACGGCTACTTATCTGTGGGTGTAGCGTCAGTGTTCGCCGAGTGAACAGATAGGACGTAATGATACGCCGCGCCGTGACGATGCGACGCGACGCGACGCATGTAACTGCGTTAACTCGAACTACGTTCGGTGCAAATGGCAGTGGAGCTTGCAGGCTAGAGGCTGTTTAATTTCGCCGGGTTCCGCAACGGAACTCGGAAAATGGCGAATTTACGCTTCGCGGAATTGCATCACTTATACGAGCCCCGTTAATAATTTACACTGTTTTCCTTTCATAACTTTGTCGCAGGGGAAGGGTGGAGGGGTCACAAGTTCTGGGAAAAGCGTTTTCCGGTTTCCTGCTGCTCGACGAAAAATCTTGTGGCGCGTGCACCATCGTTCGACAACTTTCTGTGTACACGGCCCAGAATGCATGCAAATGCTTATGAATAAACATTAAATGCAATTATAGGGGACCATATTCAAAATATATGTATGCCGAACCGCTCGTCAAACTTAAAACGGGACTGTTGCACGCTCAACCTTTTGTTTACTCGTCCTTTCTCGTCTGGCTTTACGACGAGCCCGACGAGCTTGTGGTAAAAATCTGTCGGAAAACGAACGTTATTTCTGACTCGGTGCCGTCGCAAAATTCATTCGGCGAAAGTTTCCTTTGCGCGGCGGAACTTTGATCCTATTTTCTAGTCCTTTTGCTACGCGTCCGCTGCACTCGCTTTGATCGATTCTAATCCTGTTTTTCACCTTTTACGACCTAACCAGTTCGCGTACGTACTTACAACGTAATTGAACTTCTGTCTCGTTGTACTTATTCGTTCGTATCCTTGGTCCTAATGTTTACATGTAAAGCAACGCGTGCAATGACAATAAGGTCTATCGAATCTCTTCGTTCGAACGCCGAACTACCTCGTACGAGATAGACTGCGTTGGTTAGCCTAAAGTCGAAATGCAAGATTTTATCGTTCGATGTCACCGAGCATCTATTTTCCTTCGCTTTTTCGAACAAATACTTTCGTTGCTATTCTAATGGGTTTACTCGCCTCCGCACTTCGGACTGAAAGGAAGAATCTGAGCACGGTTGAATTTCGACAGTGTTTGTTTGAAAGGAACAAAGCGTCCCGTTTAATGTTTCGCAGCAGTAGAGATACAACGATTTACTTTTCACAGTCGTGTGAAAGAGGGTAATCTACCGTAAGAGGAAAAACCGTTTGTGCGTTTCCTGTACTTTCCGACGTACGCGTACACTCGGCGCAAAAGTTGATTTGTCAGTTCAACCAGTAGGAAAAACAACGACACTGTGCACCTCTAAAAATCACAGTAACCTAGTAAGACGAGTATGCGAAATGTTCAAGAGTTGTAGTTTCCTCCAGATACCTCGGATATACATACGTACAATACTGTGTAATTGTTAGAATCGCGTCCTTTGACTTCGATCGATAAAAGCAAATGAAGCATACTCTTTACTTTTGTAAGTATTATGCCTATTCTAGTGTTCTCGCAAGTTGGATGGTATTTGGGAAACGAGATATTAATGAGAATTACTATACCTCCAGGAAGTGATAAAACTGGAATAGCGTGGAACAGTTGAGGAAAGCTACGAATAAACGGAGAATCGGAAATGTTAAGCAAGATTTTGTAGTGTTTGCTGTAGTCATTATAAAATGATAGCGTGTTTATTTCAGAAACGCGAGCGGTGCGAGCATTCCACCAAGGAATTTAACGTAATTTTCGTGAGCTTCCGCGAACCGAAGCCGATGCAAATATTCGCGAATTTTCGCAAACGTTCCCATAGCCGAGAAGATGGCACGAGTAGCCGGCAAAACGAGGAAATAACACGAATAATGAAAACGCGAGGAAGGAGAGTCAATAGGGGATCTCTCTGTGTTACGATCATTTCAAATTCAAAGGATTTACGTAGCAGCAAGCATCGAATCGTGGAAGCTCGCAGCAGGCACCTTCAATATTTGATGCGTAGAATTAGGTTTATTTAACAACGCGAAGGCAGTATTACAGCTCCGTTGATGAGTCATACAGGACTAATGTGGTTTACGCTCGGCGTTTCAATTTCTCTTTGACGAGTACTGCAACACCGCAAATATCCCTCGATCCCGGCACTGTAAATACCTACATAGACTTGCATCCACGATACACGTGACGTTTAAAAGACGATGGAACGGTAGAAAAATTTGTTTTCGATCGCTGCCGATTCCCATTTAACCGTTACAATCGTTACCAGATCATTCTAGACCTTTATGTCATTGTCCGCTGGATTAGAATATGGGTGATGCTAAACTAATTATAATTTAAAAAAATTCGTTGTCTTCACTTCTATCGGTTTATTGCATTCACTCAGAAAACATTCAATTATCTAATAATCTAATTCATCGTTACGCTGCTACTGACTGTTACGTATTAACACGGAAACCCTGAGTTTAATGTCACCGGTATTTTGACCACGCGAGAGAAAAGCGATTGTTACTTTAACGAATTATAGCTGGCCATTCGCTGCATTTAAAAAAAGACAATATCGCCGATTGGATCGTACATTTCGCTGAATTTTCATCGGGTCAGAAGTTCACTCCAAAATAACACCTTCGCAAGACGCTTAGTGTCAAGTGCTCCGAACGAAGAAGCAAGGCAAAGCTTCGGAACAGATCGATCCGCGAAAAGAAATGAAACTTTCTCGTCTGTACCTATGCGGTGTGGTGGTTGGTTAGTTCGCGTTATTCGAAGTCACGAACTTTTATTTGATCCGGCTAGTACAAAGCGGTCGACCGCCCGAACTTCGGTGATCCTGTCGAAATTTAACCACCTATCGGCTATTGTTCGCACGAACTTCAAATATTTTCCGACGGGCTAGATTCGGTCGCGCGTCGACAAATCGGATGAACCTTTGGTTACGCGTGTAACGTTATATAGGGTTGTTGTCACGTTTCAGTGACGTCGAGGATCTCTCTGTTCGATAACACTACGCGGTTTCGCTAAGTGCCGGGAATATTGATTTTTTTTTCATCGATTTTACAGAACGTGTTACGTGGTCCGTTATATTTTTTTCCTTTATGAAAATGCAGATTTCATAGGGCACTGACGAAAGCTCTGTTCCGAATTACAAGCACATCCGCTTGAATCGTAGTATTGTAGTCGGTGAATAAAATACGCGGCGGTTGATTGGTAAAATCGGAAAACGGATTATTGGGAAATTCAATTTTGTAAAAGGACTTGGACTTCACAGAGGTAACACGGTTGCGTGATGATGCTCGAAAGATTTGGGACCTGTGCCAAAAGTAGGGCTTTTGCGATACGAGTTCAATGGAAACCCGAGTGTTCACTATGAACGGTTACGGGAACTAATCAGAGGTTCTTCATTGGTCCGACGTAAATTTCGGAATTAACACTTTAGTAACGACTGCAAGTGAAGGTTGAAAAACATTGATTCCGATTGAAACGTCTTAGATTTTAAAAACTGTACGATGTTACTTTGTCGCCCAATTTAATATCTTCTAAGAACGAGAACGTGTCAAAGCAATAAATACCTCTTGGAAGAATTTTGACCTCGAGAGGATGATCGAACGAACTTACGTACTTATTCGTAATTTTCGATGCAATAAAATATTGAGAGAGACCGAGCGACAGAATTTCTTCGGCTGGTTCAACCCGTACGAAGACGGATGATCCTTTAAGGCGACTAATTAATTGGAGCCTCGCGCTAATTTAATATACCGAGTTAGTTGTAGGGCGCGCTCGTGCGACTCCCAGCAGGCAAATGACCCACTTGCGGACATTTCCCCGTAGATTCGCGACGAGAACTCTCGTCGTGGCGCGAGATCAATCATCCTAGGAGGTTCCTTTCTTCTCCACCTGCGAAATAATTAGATCGCGCGATTGAAATAGAACGGCGACGTCGGTAAACTCTAAACGATTCGAGCACTTCCGGGACTTTAGCTCGATTAAAGACCTCTCGCCGGCTCGATCCGATTTCAGCCGCTAAAGGACAGCTTTACTCGCGATAATGGAAAGACGAGCGCTCGCCAGCTTCTTCGCGCGTATTTTTCTGTACTCGATAGTTCGTTTCACTGAAACGAGAGACTATCCCTCGTGTCAGTTGTAACACTCGAGGTTATCTATAAATTTCCAGTTGATTGCTTCTCACCAGTCATCCGATAGCGCTTTCAACCTCCTCGTGCTCGAATTGACCGTCCGTGAGCCCAGTAGAATGTACGTTTAGAAATTGATCGGGAAGAGGAAGTTCATCGAACGATGATTAACGAATCGTGATCCTCTGGTACTTTAAGAGCGTCACAACAAAAAAATGTTTTCTGTTCTTTCACTTAAAGCTTGACTGTTGTCTGAAATTCAACCGGAAGTTTATATAACGTAAACGGATAATGGTTATACGACACCTCCCATTACGATATATGGATCACGAAGTAGACTCTACAAAGAACTCGGTGCTACAGATTATAGCGCGGAATACTAATGCATAGGACACAATTCAATTATGCGTAAATCTATGCGTAGATTATCAACCTACTTTTATCAAAGGGAACCAAAAAACGTGAAAGCGATGAAATAAAACTGTGGCGGGTTCAGCTAGTCCATATACCGTTCAAAATGAAAATAAACACGGCCGATTTCAGTAGGTATCGGCTTCGATCGAATATTCGCAAGGGTATAAATATCCGTCGACGGACAGGCTCGTGGCATTTTTTACGATGCCGAGAAAACACGCATAGATCAAGGCGACAAATAACACCGCGCCCCACAATATCCAAGCCTGGCGATATATCAATGCGCAATTTACGATGTTGTAACGTCACCGATGCGAGACAGCCTTTTTTTCCCTCCCTTCCCCGCCGACGCGACGGAGCAAACAGAGCAATCGGGCATCAAATCTGTAATTTATAACAGGATCAACCGCTTTAAGTCGATGACACTCCCCTCGGGATAATGTTGCCCCGGAACACAGGGAAGTGCCCTCGCCTTTGAATTCCGGCAAGAAGAACCGTCCCGGGTGCTTTCACACACGTCCTTTACGTTGTTTATTTCCGGACGTACACGGATTTCCTTTGAAACACAAATTTCTAGACGACAACACCTTTGTGTTTCAGGACAATGTCTTTTCGAGGGTGTCGTTATTGCTGTCCTTTACCGGAGGACTCGGAATCGTAGGAAAATCGTGTTTCTTGAAAAAATTTATTTGCCAAAAACATTCTCACGATGAAATTGGTGATTACAACTTTCGAGTACCGAACACTATTCTTTTCGATGCACGAGAACCTACTGGCGAGCCCGACTAACAAAATTTCAACGAAAGAATCCGAAAACCATGGTACATAGTTTCTTATGCAAAGATGCGTTCCGGTAACCCATTTTCCGAACGATTCGCGATTCCTCGACTTCTCTCGGCGGAAGAAAGAATGCGTATGGAAATGGTAGGAACTATTCCGTTTGAACTGGTCCGTGTGAGCTCGACACGCGACGACATCGCACCGCGTACGAGAACGCTTCATCGACGGGACCGGGAGTAGAATCGATCTGTCTCGGGAACATCGTGACGAGAGCGTGAAATATGACAGCGAGGCAACCGTTTCTGCAAACATTTGTTACAGGCTGGCAAATATTTCGCCTGTCCGTGGATCTCCCGCGCAGATGTTATTAATTTGTACTCCGGTTTGTTCGCGTTGTCGGCATGCTTGAATTTCGTGCAAACCGACAATAAAACGCGTTGTACTTCATGCTCGCCTGCTGATAAACGAATGCAACACCGTTTACACACTTTTAATCGACCGAAAATACTGAAAAATAACTTTGTTGTAATTATTATCGAAAAGCGTTACAAGTGTTCTAAAAACAATTGCATGCTATTTTTTTTTCAAATATCCTCGTTTGAACGCATCTATTAATTTTTATTTTTGATTTTCGAAGCTGACACAAGTAACACAGAGCGCCTAGTAAATGATGTTTTATCTTTAGACAGAAAATAATAGCGAAGATCGTGTAGTATACGTGTATAGATACATATAAATCGAGCGATTTAAACTCGAGTACGAAGAGCCGCGCGAACCCTTTGGGAAGCTGCCAACGTAAAGGATGATATGCAGATAGCCACGGTCGCACCTCGAGCCTTTCTATCCAAGTTCGATGATTTTCAATTTTCCGGTATCGATAGCCCGAGACTTTACGAAGCGACGAAACAGAAGCAAAAGCAAGGGGCCTGTTGGAAGATCGAGAAGCAAGCATCGGGCCGCGGTTTAGGGAACGTTCGGATCTTTAATATTCAGGCCGTATCGTCCGACGCGACGCCTCGCGACGCGTACAAGCGAGATTTTTAAGATATCCCTGAACTGCATATCGAGCGAACGTGAAATGAGAACGAACAAGGTGCAACGGAGACTCGTGAAGGTACATTGCGTAAAACAGACGATCCCAAAAGTTGCAGCACGATTCTAAAATTTCCATATTTATACGAGAGTACAACGAGCGTAGCAAGAGACCGATGCG